GGGAAGCGTGGGCAGCAACCCCGCCCGAAGGACCTTGCTCCAGCTGGTGGACGCCCCGGGCATGTGTATCCATGACACGGGTCGGAGCGGCGTCAATGCGGTCGACATCCCGTCCGCGATGCGCACATCGCGCTTCTGCTTCTCCCCTCGCGGGTGGGACAACGGCGACTCGGACCGCTACCTCCCGGCGCTTCTCCACGGCTGCATCCCGGTGCTCTCGGACCCGCTCGAGGCGATGCCGCTGCAGGAGCGAGGCGGCGCCGCGGCGGCGCGAGGAGGCGGCGTCTCTTCACAGCTTCGCCGTGAACAGGAGCTGCGCGACGAGTGGCGGTGGGAGGAGGCGGCGCTCGCGGTGGACGTGGCTCGCATCCCCAAGCTGCCGCAGGTGCTGGGCAGCCTCGGCCCCGGCGCGGAGGCGGCGCTCCGTGCGGCGGGCGAAGCGGCGCGCGAGCACCGGCTCCCGCCCCGCCCTCCTCGTGCGCTGCTGACACCTCGCGGCGTGAGCAGGCGCGCGAGCGCATGCTCTACACCACGCTCGCCTTCGACTGCTGCGCGCCCGCCGCCTGCAACGCCTCGCGGGCGCGGGCCGCTCCCTCGACCCACAACCACGCGCGATCGGTGCGGCAGGCGAGGCTGTGGCAGCCGTCCCCGTGCGGGCCGGAGCGGCGGCGGAGGGCGGGCTCGTACATCGGCGAGGACGGGTCTCGCGACGCCTTCTCACCAAAATAAATAAATAAATAAAACGGACACCTCTACTAGGAGATGGGTAAAAAGGAACAGGTCCCCGCCCTGCGGTCTTTGTGCAGGGTTCTTTGTGGGTGTGGTCGGCGGCTAGCCGGGGTCGTCCTCCCGATGGGGGACTAGCACTAGCCGTCTTCCACATGGTCCCTCGGGTCCCTGCTGCTCCTAATCTCTTCGTACATCCTCCTGCTGATCTCCGCAACGTCCTGCTCCCTCCCTCGTCTCGCCCTGCGCGACTGCTCCGCCTCACCGTCGTCTGCCCTGCGTCGTCTGGTGACGGGTCCTCCATAGTCGGTTGAGGTCGCCGCCCTCCTCGTGCCTCTTCCCAACGTTCCCTCGGCGGTCGATGCCGTCTGGTCCGCCTCCGCCGTCCCCGGGTCTGCCCTGCCCTCGTCTGCACTAGCTTCTGTTTCGTCATCACTGGCGCCTCTCCTCTTCTTTCTCCTCTTCTTGTATGCTTTGTACAAACAACCAAATGACGTGTGAGTGTTAGATTTGTTTGGTATTGCTAAAAATCTCTCTCTCAGCAACAAACCAAAAACAATCTCTCTCTCACAGCACAGTAAAGAATTTAAACAAAACAACTCTCTCTCACAGCAGAGAGGCTCGACACAGGTGCGAACTGGCGCGTGCTAGCACTATCACAGTAAAGACGATCGAGGCGTCCCGTACCATGCTGTGAAAAAGAATTCTTAAAATACAAGCCTCTCTCACAGCACACTGGCACGACAAGGGCGCGGACTGGCGCGGACTGGCACACACATGACCTCGCCACTTTGCGGCTCTTTGACATCCACCTCGCGGCCCGCTGCGCGGCTCCTCGAGCGCGAGAGGAGTCGTCTACGAGGCGGCGGCGAGCGCAGGCGGCGGCGGCGCGGCGGCGCGGCGGCGGATCGCGGCGCAGACAACGGCAGGAATCTGCGGCAGGCTGCTGCCTGCTGCTACAGCAGCTGCTGCTGCTGCTGCTGCTCCGCCGCTGCCGATTGTGGACACGATTCCCCCGATCACCCCGCCCGCCCGCTCCGCCCCGCCCGCCCGCCTCTCCCCGCCCGCCCGCCCGCCCGCCCGCCCGCCCGCCCGCCCGCCCCGCCCGCCCCGCCCGCCCGCCCGACCACCCATTCCCATCACCATCTCACATACCTTCATATAGGCGCTCGAGACCTCCTCTCGCGGCCTACTCGCTGCCTCGAGGGAGGAGGGGAAGACGTAGGGCGCGCGCCACTGCGCTCGCCGTAACCGAGGCCCCTCCCCGAAAGGGCAAGTATTAGACCCATGAAATCCGAGACCCCTCCCCACCACCCTGATCCCCCCACCCCCTTGCTCCCCTCCCCCCCTCGGGAGGGCCGAACTGAGGCGCCCGAGGGGACCCCGCAATTCCCTTCCCCCCTCGGAGGGCCGGACTGAGGCGTCGAGGGCCCCACTCTTTCCTTCGCATAGCGGCCACTCTTCGGATCGCTGGTCGAGCGACCCGGGGGATGCCCCGCGCGCCTGACCCAGGCGCGGAAACGAATCTGCGAGGCGTGGCCGCTCATGCGGCCCGATGGGGAGGAGGGGAAGACGTAGGGCGTGCTTGCGCGCCTTTCCGAGGCCCCTCCAACCCACCCGCGCTAGGTCTCGGGGGACGAAGGGGTCACACCCGACGACCTCGGGAACTAGCCGGGGCAGTCGGAGAAGGGGCAACTCCGTGCACTGACGGTCGGCCGTCAGAAAACACGCCTCCGTGGCTCGGGTTACACCAATCCTCGCTACCCAACGCGGCCAAAGGATATCCACCTCGAGAACCTCGAGAGAGCACACACACTGTGAAAAAGAATTTTTGAATTAAGCCTCTCTCGCAGCACACAAGGGCGCGGACTGGCGCGGACTGGCACACACACCGGCTCACCGTAAAGAACTCGCACGCGCACTGCCTGCGGCCGCTGCCTTCGTCAGGATCCGTCAGGTTCAACAAACAGGCTAGGTCCGCAACGCATATATGAGCGCTCGCGGCGAGGCCGCCGCCGCCGCCGTCCTCCTCAGCGAGGAACTGCTCGGCGTGATCGCCGACTTCATCGGGCTCGACTTTTTCAGTGGGTGCGCTCTGGCCTTCGGCGCCGCCGGCAGCGTGGCACGGCACAAGCGTGTCAGCTGGCGACTCTGCCGGCTCGAGTCGAGCTTCGGCTCGCACGGACCCGGCGATGGCCAGTTCTGCGCCCCCTCCTCCATAGTGGCGACCGCGTCGGGCGTTGCTGTGAGCGACGCGGGGAACTGCCGCGTCCAGTCGCTGACACCGAGCGGCAGCCACCTCCTCTCCATGCCGCTGTGTCCCGGGCCTCACGTCGTGGCCGGCTTGGCGGCGGCGGCGGACGGCACCATATTTGCGGGCATAAAGGAGTTCGACTCTGGCTGGGACTACCCCTCGCTCGACCGGTGGCACAGCTACGTGCTTCGCGCCTCGCCGACTGGTGATATTTTGGAGCGGTTCGGTGGCGCGTGCGGAGGCGGCTCGAACCAGTTCTCGCGCGTGTGCGGGGTGAGCCTGGCGGGCAGTCAGCTCCTCGTCGTCGACCAGGGCAACCACCGCATCGTGGTGCTCGGCACGGCGCCAAAGCTGCGGTGGCTTCGAGCCTTTGGTAGCCAGGGCAGCGGCCGTGGAGAGCTTAGCCTTCCAGAGACGGCGATTGGCCACGAGGGCAGCGTCTACGTGGCGGACCAGGGTAACGCTCGTGTGTCCGTGTGGACAGAGGAGGGCCGCTATGTGCGGTGTTTCGGGGCGCCGGGTGGGGGTGCGGGCATGTTCGAGGAGGTTTGCGGTCTCGCGATCCTCGGGACGCCGGCGCGACTTGTTGCCTGCGACGTCTCCCGGCTGCACGTGATGACGCTGCACGGCGTGCCGCTGCACGTGATCCATTTCGGCGCGGCTGCTGACGTGTGCGGCGTCACAGTCGCCCACGGCCAGCTCTTTGTGACCGACCAGCGGCAGTCGATAGTGCACGTGTTGCATTTGTGGCTGTGACACACTCAGAGCGGCGAAGATTTGTTGTTCTCACTCTACTGACCAGAGAGGGGGGGTGGGGTACGTGAATCGGGTGCGGGTACTTCCATCGAGACTGACGAGAGCCGGCGCGCCCTCTCGTCGCCGCGAACACCTGCGCGCTGCGAGGGTCAGATCAAATAAATAAAACGGACACCTCTACTAGGAGATGGGTAAAAAGGAACAGCAAAACACACAGATCGTATATTTCTCTGGTAGGACGGGAACGAGATGAAAGTAGGGAGTAGAAGAAAGCAAAGAGGAGCCCTGCGCACGCACGACTCCGCAGGAGAAACCCCTCCCGCCCGTGCTTGCGCAGCGCAGCCTCCTCCGTATATTTGTGGGATCGTTTTTTTTGCTGCGGGGGGGTCCGCGGGCGGCGTAAGCGCACTACACTGACAACTGTGGGGTAGACGAACGCCATTCGAACTTTGATACGCGTCGATATTGAGCTGAAACCGAGGGTGTGTGTTAATGTATGTAAAACCGGAAAAGCAAAATAGACCCTGGCGCGGCTGCCGGTGCCGCGCCTGTCAGTTCCCAGATGTCTATGGTCGCGCACTTGCAGCGCCACCGCTCGGCCTTCTGCCTCAAGTGTCAGTCGTCCATGCAACCCCCCCCCCCCCCCCCCCCTGGCCCGCGCGTGCCAGTTGCTCTTCTACTCGCACTCACGCAACCCGGCACCCTGGATGCTTGCCAGTCAAGACAAGCATGTAGCATAAGGGATTAAGGGTGATTGATCGGGTGAAGCGCAAGGGCGAAAAGGGTGTCGGGTGTATGCTGCTTCTTGCTCGTCGTGTGTGGTGTGGGCGTGCAAGGGATTTTAGATTTACGGTGGACGATGCAAGGGACGTGGAAAAATTCTTTTTCACGGGCCATTGCTGCGAATCAACCCTCTCAGCCCCACCCTCTTATAGCGAGGTCGGTGTGAGCCACCGTGACCTCGGCGGCGTCGCGCTCCACATATATGTCGGTGTTCATGCTTCTCGCGACCTGCGCCACGCTCCAGTTCACGGCGCCATCACGTCCCTTTGCCGCTCCACGCGCCGCCGCCGGCCGCGGCCGCTTGCTCGCGATGGATGCTGACGCTGTGGAGGCACCCCCGGAGGGCTACGTGCCAGTTGCCGCTGACGGCTCATGCCCGCTGCCGCCCGAGGAGACGTACTATTGCAACGAGCAGGGCTGCTGGGTGGGCGCGCCGCCCGTGATCGAGCCGGTGGTGCTCCCGGACGGCCGCACATTTTGCATGGACCTGGGCGTCCAGAGCCACAAGCAGTACGACGCCGAGGAGCAGAAGAAGGCGCGGCGGCCTGCCCCGACGGGTCTGTTTGCGCCACTGGTCGTTGGTGCGAAGCGCGTGATGGGCGAGAAGGAGCTGAATGCGCTGCGAGCCGACGTGATTGTCAAGCACAGCAAGGTGATCGGCGCCTTTGTCGATACCTCCGAGAGCCGGTTTGGCCAGCTCGTGCTCCGGCAGATGTTTGAGGCGGCGGACAAGGACGGCAACGGCACGCTCGACCGGCGGGAGGTCCGCGACGCGCTGCACGCGCTCGGTTTCACCTTCATCGAGGACAAGCAGCTCGACAAGATCTTTTCGCGCGCCGACGAGAACGACGACCTCGTCATCGATTTTGAGGAATTCATCAAAGAGACTCCAAAGACCCTACGAACCTCGCTCGTCAAGCTGGCAAAGGCGCCGCCGCTCCCCCGCCCGACGCTCAACCCCCGCGCCTCTGGCCTTGAGTCCGCGCCGCCCCGCCCGCGACACAGACCAACGGCCATGACTTGGGGTTTCTCGCTTAGCCGCCTCCGCTTGGACACGGTGCTTGCGAATTCTGCTGTCATTCGTCTGCCACATGCTGTGTCTCTGCGTGTATGGGAGGAGGAGTTCTGTGCGCTGGCGCGTGTAGAGGCGCCCCGCAGGACTGGACATGAGCCGCCGGGAGCGCGGGAGCAGCCGCGCACGGCGGCGTGCGCGGCGCCGCGCTTTACGACCGGTCCGTGTGTGGCCGTGCCGCATGGCGTCTCTCGTCCGATCGTCGCTTGCCTATCTCGTGCCATGACCCATGTCATGTGTGTGTATTAGCTAATACGTATACGAGGTGTGCGCCCATGTGCCACATGACGCTGTCATTAGTTTACCCTCCGGGTGTACACCCGGCTCTAGCTTCGAAAGAAATAGGCTTGTTATTGTTCCAGCTCCTCCCGTCCGGCGACCGGCGTCCGCACGCTCTCACACTCAAGGGTCCCACGCCTCCACCGGCGCCGACACAGCGGCCTCCTCCAGCCCGGCCGCGGCAGCGGCCTCGCCTGCCGGCTGGCACGAGCGCTCTGGCAAGCTCACCGCCGTCTGGCGCCCCATGACGGTGAGGAGGACGGTGGCGAGTCCCTCCGTGCCAACCTCTGTCACGGTGCCCTCGAGGCCCTTGAAAGGCCCCGAGCTGACGAGCACGCGCGCGCCGGGTGCCAGCGAGGGAGGCGCCTCCTCGCCCTCGCCGCCCGCTCCCGAGGCGCGCGCCGCCTCCTGCGCGTGATTGGGGCGGGCGCTCGGGCTGGGGGGCGGGGGGCGGGGCGGGGCGGGGCTGCAGGGAGGGGCGGGGCGAGGGGGAGGGGCGGGGCGAGGGGGAGGGGCGGGGCGAGGGAGGGGCTTCCTTTGTGAGGGTGACGATGGACTGGAACTGGTCGTCGGTGAGCGGGCGGGGCCAGACGAAGCCGCGCGAGCCGTCGAGCTGCCCAGAGCGGGACCTGCCGCCGTGGTCCGCCCCGACGAAGTTGACCACGTATTGCATTCCGGTGATGAAGGTGTGCAGCGCGCGCGTCATCCGCATGTGGACGAGGATGTACGAGGGCATCACGGACGCGTCGCGCACCGAGGTCTCCCCGTCCGCGATCGGCACGAAGATCCGGTCGATGTCCTCCTGCAGCCGCTGCACCTCGATCGCCTGCGGAGGAGAGGCGGGGGGTCGGAGGAGGGCGGCAGAGGGAGGCGGAGGCGTGCGAGTCCGCCTGGGAGAGAGAGCGCTCGACGGTGCGCTCGAAGCCGTTGGCCGTCTGCAGCATGTACCACAGGGGCTCCACATCGCGGTGCACCTGCGCGAGGGGCGGACGCCGCACGGAGGACCGACCTCACGAGCCGACTTCCGGCAGCTGCGCAGGCGGCGAGGGCGACGCGCCTCGGTCTCGATGGGCGGGAGGCCGGCGGCCATCTTGCGCCGCGTCTGCTCGAGCCGCTCGACGAGCTCCGCCTTGCGGCCCGTCACCCTCAGCCCGAGCACGCGCAGCTCAGTCTTGAGGTCGGCGACCGTCATGTTTGCAACCGTCGGCAGCTCCGCCCGCGCCTTTTGCATGCTGGCCTCGCGCTGCGCGGCGACCGTCGCCGCGTCCTCCTCCTCGTCCTCCTCCTCGTCCCCCTGGATCGCGGAGAAATCGATGCTGAACGAGGCACGCACAGGGCTGGCGCGGAGCAGCACCGCCGGCGGCGGCCGCAGGACAGCCTGCCGCGACGCGAGGCCGGCGAACAGCGAGGCGGCCAGTGGAAGCAGCAGCAGCGCAAAGAGAGGGCGTCGGTGGCGCATTGGTAGGCGTTGTCGTCGTCGGGTGAATGGCGCGAGCGGCGCGGAGCGATCGCGGCTGAGTGCCAGGCTGATATCTCGACGTGATGAGAAGAATTCTTAAGGTCCTTTCTCACAGCACACTGGCACGTTGTCTGTTTTGTTTCTTTAGCACACTGGCACGAGAGAGAACGACGAGAGTGGGACGACCGCGAGGTGGCATGAAGGTTGCAGCGAGAATCGGCGAGGGACTGCGAAGGGAGATAGAAAGAGGCAGACGACCAAGGCGCAAGGGTTAGGCTTAGGGTGGGCGACGGCTAGCACCACACTCCTCTCCTTAAAATCCCTGTGTGGTGGCGGCGTGCCGTCCTCCCATCCCTCCCTCGGGTTGTCTGTTTTCTTTCTTTCTTTTAGCACACTGGCACGACAAGGCTCAATCAAGCGTCAAGGGCGCGGACTGGCGCGGACTGGCACACACACCGGCTCACCGCAGAGAAGAAAAGCTACGTGCGAGTACACCGAAGCCAGCCAGCGAAACTCTGCGAGAACGTGCAGAGCTATTCGGAAACAGGTGACACTTTTTGGCCTGTACAAGGGTTTCCTCTCGCACCCTACCTGGTTTCCTTTCCGTGTTTCCTGCTAGTTTCCCTAGAGCACCCTCTAGTTTCCCGGGCTCTGAGCCGAGTCTGTACTGAGCACTGAGGCTGGTTTGGGCCCCAAATCTGCCAAATCGGCAAAATACCGCGGTATTTTGCGGGTACCTGGAAAACCCCCTGGTATACCTAGAAAAATACCCGGTAGTTTGCCGATTTCCTAAATTTTGCCCCAGATTTTGCCCCACACCAGCTCTCAGACTCAGGGTACAGGGAAACTCGCGAGTTTCTCGAGGGAAACTCGAGAGATACGGAATGGAGCTCCAAACACCCTCTGGTTTCCCTGGAAACTTCTGGAAACGCAAAGTGCTGGGGACCCTCTGGTTTCCCTCTGGGTTGCCGGAAACGTACCCTTGGACAGGCCAAGACACTTTGGGGGGATGAGAAAAAAAGGTGACGGCTTTAGGGCCGGGACTTCTTTATCTGACTTTTGTTTCTGACTCGCTACCAGCTCCTGTCACCAGCTGACCTGTCGCCAGCTGTCGCCAGCTGTCGCCAGCTGTCTGTCGCCAGCTGTCTGTCGCCAGCTGACGCCAGCTGTGACCTGTCGCGCCTGCTGACCTTTTTCGCTGTCGCCAGCTGTCGTTCGCAGTAGCTACTTCCTGTCGTCTGTTGTTTGTTGTGCCCTTGTTTGTTCTCTTGGCACCTTGGAGTGCTGGGGGGGGGCGACAGGGAGGATGTGGCCTTGAGTTATGTGTACGCCTACTCAGGGTGTGTGTGGCAGCCCGCTGGCTGTGTGTCTTGTGAGCCTGTTTGTGTCTGTGTGTCGCTCGTGCGTGCCGTCATCATCTGTCCAGCGTCCACCCATACCGCGTTGGTGTCCAGTCCGAGCCTGGCTGCTCTTCACCTTCCTACATACATACATAGTAGCTGCTGATCCTGTACCGTGTTTGTTATGACCCCCCCCGATGAACACACCAGTGAGGGTGGGCGAGACGATCGAGGGGTCCCGTCCGTACCATGCGGAACCGACCCTATCCAGTGCTCAAGAGTCAAGTGCTCAAGAGCTGCGCGAGAGTAGCTGTCACGACCGTTAGCCGCTGTCACGACGCATTACTACATCGAACGACCCCAGATTGGCACCTGTGCGCTCTCTGGACAGGGTGGCCCGCCACAACGACTCCTGGAATTGCGACTCGCCGCTTCCCGCTGTGTGATTTGTGTGTGTGTGTGTGTGTGTGTGTGTGTGTGTGTAGCTCTGTGCCTTGATCTGCTAACAACAAACCTACCTAGAACTACATGTACGTCGTTAACCGTCATCACGGGAAGTTTGCATAGTCTCTGACGCCGAGAAAGAGTTTTTCTTCTTCTCGGCGGCAGCCGCGATCGAGGCCTCCCGATGCTGTTCTTAGTCTTACTCTTGTCCCTCTCCTCCACCGCGCTCGGCCTCCTCTCGCCGACGCGCTCCGCCGCGCGTCGCGCCCTTGGCGGCGCGACTCGCAGCTGCGTGCGCTGCGCCGGTCCGGCGACGGCCGCGGCGGTGGCGGCGGCGGCGGCGGGCGCTGCCGGAGGGCGCCGGTCCGCTCTCGTGGTCGGCGGGGGCGCCTCGGGCCTGAGCTGCGCCCTCGAGCTGGCCGGCCGCGGCTGGTCCGTCTCGGTCCTCTCGCGCGACACCTCCGAGGGCGCCACCCGCGCCGCTGGCGGCATGCTGGCGCCGCAGGCGGAGCGGCTGGAGGAGGGGCCGCTGCTCGACCTGTGCGTGCGCGCGCGCTCGCACTTTCCGCCCTGGCTGCAGCGCGTCGAGCGGCTCTCCGGCGTCGACGCCAACCTCTGCTCGCGCGGCGGCTTCCTCGCGCCCGCCTTCGAGGGCGACGCCGTGCAGCGGTGGCGCCCTCCGGCGGCCGGCGGGCCGGCGACGTGGCTGGGGCCCGAGGCGCTGCGTGCGCTGGAGCCGGCGGTGTCGGAGGCGGCCGTCGGCGGCTGGCTTTTCGAGCGGGAGGCGTCGGTCGACCCTCGCGCGCTGCACGACGCGCTGCTCACCTCGTGCGGAGCGCTGGGCGTGCGCGTGCTGGAGGGCGTCTCGGCCTGCTCACTCAATTTGGACGTGGAGGCGGCGGCGGGAGGCGCGGCGGGCGGGAGCGGCGGGGCGGCGGCGGCGGTCATCACGAGCGACGGCGCCGAGCTGCGCGCGGACGCCGTCGTGCTCGCGTGCGGCGCGTGGGCGCGCGAGCTGCTGCCGCTCGCCTCGTTCCCGATCAAGGGGCAGATGCTGCGGCTGCGGCCGCCGCCCGGGCACGCGCAGCGCGAGGCGGGCGGGCTGCAGCGCACGCTCTTCGGCGACGGGGTCTACCTTATCCCGCGGCGCGACGGCGCCGTGGTGGTTGGCGCGACCGAGGAGCCCGGCGCCGGCTACGACCGCAGGGCCACCGCCGGCGGCGTGGCGCAGCTGCTCGACAAGGCGGTCGCCGCGGCGCCCGTGCTGGCAGACTACACGCTTGACGAGGTGTGGGCCGGGCTGCGCCCCACCACGCCGGACCGCATGCCCCTCCTCGGCCGCGCCTCCTCCGCCTTGAACCTGCACGTCGCCGCCGGCTACCACCGCAACGGCATCCTCCTCTCGCCGCTCTGCGCAAAGCTGGTCGCCGACGGCATCGAGGGCGCCCTCACCGAGCAAGACGCCGCCCTCCTCGCCCACTTCGAAGTGGAGCGCTTCAGCCGCGTCCAGCCGAGCCCGGCCGCCCCTCCCGCCCCCGCCACCTCCTCCGCCTCCGCCCCCGCCGGCCGCCACCCCAACCTGCTGCAGCGCGTCGCCGCCGTGCCGCGCCGCCTCTTCGGGCGGGCACCGCCGCCGCCAGCCGCCGGCGCGGCGGCGCCTGACCTGACCGCGCCCGTCGGGTCGCCGGGCGGCAGCGCGGGCGGGGCGGTCCCCGGCGGGGAGGCGACTGACGAGTGGTGGAACCTCACCCCGCGCTCGCCCGAGGAGGCGGCGGCGACGGCAGCCGTGGTAGCGGACAGTGCGCAGCGCGAGGAGAGCATGAGCCGCGCTCTCG